AATATAATAGAAGTTTCCGTGTTCAAGAAGAAGAGATTTGAGGTTTTCTCTTCTTGTTTCAAATATATTAGTAATAAATTTTCAAAATATTACAGGCTTGTCAGCTTTTCAAGTCCAAAACTCTAAGCAGTTACTCTTTCCGGTACTTATCTGTTGAAAACCTTTGAATTTCTATTACTATTACCAGTGATGGAGATTGTGTCTGTGCCAAGAATGTGTAGGTGCTTTCTAGTTAATTTTTAACCATTTTGTACAAGCAGAAGCAAAATTTAACAAAACAAAACAAAACAAAGAAACAACAAAAAAGCAAAAACAAACAACAACAACAACAACAAAAATGCCTTAGGGACTGGGTAAATTTTCAGATGGTAATCTCGGCTGAGATCTGTTACTATGCTGCAAGTGCCATTTAAATTAATTAATCTGAAGTTAATTCAGGTATGTTTATATGAGAGACATCCATAGATCTACTACAGCACAGACATATTCAATATGAATTGTTTTGTCAGATCTTTTAAACTAATAGAGGATTTCTAAATTAGCAAGAATTCACCATTACAGTATTATTCAGATGTAAAATAAGAATGATTCGTATTTTTTGTTAAAAAAAAAGAAAACAAAATAACAACCTAGAAGTTAACTTTAAGTCTGGTAACTTTCTATGTAGAGATATAATTCTTGGGAAGCCTGTTGTCAACATCTCAGTCTAACCTCTGTGCTCTTTCTAGGTCTGCAGCCATACACTAATTACAGCTTCATGCTCACTGCGTGCACATCTGCTGGGTGTTGTTCTAGCCAAGCACTTTCAGGTCAAACTTTACAAGCTGCTCCTCATGGTAAGGGAAAAAAGACATTCTTACAGAACTGCAAAGAGGTGGTCATATGGGCTTGGATTTACTGATGGTTTATTGAGGTGCAAAACTCCACTATCATCCAACAAGCTTATCATGTAAAAATTTACACAAGAGATTCCACCTCTCTTGGATTGTTTGTATCTTAGCACACTCTTCATACTGACTGCCTAGGACTTCATTTCTACTTTCTTTTTGTGACATTTTCCTGAAGTTAATCTTTATATTGGTGAGGTTAGAATTAGCACATGTGTATTTTTTAAAGCACAAATAAATATACAGGAATGATTTGGCGTATAAAAGGTGCAGCCTTTGGCTTTGTCCTCCATTAATCTGTACCTTGTCTAGTTGGTTGCATTTCATACAGGACAATGGAGCAAATGTGTTAAATTCGGTCATTCTCTCTGACAGTGTTTTGTGCTTTCATTACATTGCTAAAAGCAACAGCACACAGCACAAACTGTGGGAAAGGAAAAAAGCCCTTTATATTTCTGTCATAAAATTAAAATAGTGTCATTGTGATGTTAACAGGGGTATGGCCAAAACCTCATCATATCATAGTCAGATCAACAGAAGTGGAAATCTACTGGAGTGAACCAAAGCGACCCAATGGGCTCATTACTCAGTATCGATTATTTCGTGATGGAGAACAGATTTTTCTGGGTGACAGTAAAGACCTGAATTTCACAGATGTTAACCTGCAGCCCAACAGTAGGTAAGGCATGTTAAAGAGCTTTGGTGATATGTGAAAGGCGTTCAAAGTATATGTGCATGTTTTTATGATGTGTAGAAAACATAAGTTACTTTTTTAACAAAAGAAAGATCTCTTACAATATTACTTAATTACTGAAAAATTGGTAAAACACTTTTAGGAGGCTTCCAAATCAACATTAATCAAAGCCTTAATCAAAGGGCTCCTCTTTTTTTCCTACTTTGAGGATGGGTCATTTTGATTCAGAGAGGGGGAGGCTTTTTTTTTTCTTTCTGTTGAGTGATTGTTGGTGACTCATTGGTTGTTTTTTCCCCTCATGAAATGTAGTTAAAATTTAAATCTTTATATGGCAGACAGCACTGCACATGGTTTCTAGTGTTTCTGTGCATATTGAACATACTGACTCAAAAGCAGCAGCTGCGGATATTTTTATAGAGGCCGTTCTGACATTGGTTTTAAAACTTTTTGAATCAATACTTCTTTCTCCTGTGTAAGCTGATGTGAATTTTAGTATTAAAGTTATTCTTATGATAAGTAAAAAGTTACTTTTATCACATTAAGAAAACTTAAAAAGTAAAATCTTCACTAATGCAGTATTTGTAATACTCTATATTTTCTGTTCACTTTCAATTGTTGAAAATGGAAATGTTCTGTTACTGATATGCCTAAAGTTTCTAACCACAGTGTCTACTGATCTTTTTCTGTTTGTGCAGATATGTTTACCAGCTGGAAGCCAGCACTTGGGGCGGCAGCAACACTAGTGATAAATATGTTATACAAACACCAGTAGAAACACCAGAGAAAATCCATGTCCCATATAATGCCACAGTAATTGATGCATATTCTATATATCTAGCTTGGGCTGTGCCAGGTAAAAATGTATTTCTATGTAGTACTTTGTAGCAAGATGAAAGGATGGAAAACAGTATATTCAAGAAGGCAGCTGAATCATTCTGATATTTTTATTCTTCATATTTGGTTTTAGTCTTTGTGTGATTTAAATAACCAGTATTTAAAGGTGCTGTTTCCTAGAGATATATTATTTTAATAATATTATCCTATATCCATTACATAGGTATTGTGAGGATTAGCTGATCAAAACTCTGTATGTTAATTTGATCTTGTAAACTATTATTTAGGGCAAGCATTATGGAAAAAAACCCCAAACTTACACTGAAAATAACTTTTCCCTTCTGTTCAGACTTAACCTGAGTCTTTGACATAGAAACCTGCCAACCTTTTGTGTTGATCATGTCTTGATAGCTACTCTGGCACTTAAAATGTCCATTTGACCTGCAGGTGTGCAATGCTGAGCTCTTATAACAGAAGGTGTAATAGTGTGTGACACAAAGATCCTTTGCTAGCTTTGAACTGATTAAGTAAATTTTATTTGCCAGAGCACTGTAGTGTTATGTGGACATGTTACCTTGCAGGAGGGTGGGTCAGGAAAGGCCCAGAAATATTTTTCCTCTTGTTACTCTCTCCCTAAACATCAGCAAGTTGTCTTAACCTGCTACGGAGGTAGGCTAAGAAGGAATAATTGAATAATAGTATCTTTTTATATGAGAGATTGTGCTCTGTTTCGTTAATATAGATCATAGCTTAAGTGTTTGATGTACTTTATTGATGTTATAAAAATTATATGCTGTCGTTATTGTGGGACAATGAGAGCATTTTAAATTAACACTTTTCTCTCCACTGTACTTCATCAGCAAGGTACTTTCCGGTTCTAGATACTGTTTTTTTTTTTTCCATTAAAATGAGGTCGACTTTTTTTAGCTGCTTCATGTTTGCATATTACAATAACAACAATACATGTTTTATCAATGAACTCAGAGTATTTTTTTTATGTTTCCTCTTCCTAATTATTTAAGATGTTCTTTTCTTGCATAGCAGTCACAGTAGAGTCAATTGGCATTAAAAATAAAGTCACCTAGAAAAAGTATTTTGCCTTCAAGGCTGGGATCGCAAGTATTGTGGCAGTGCTTAGCAGCGTTTACCCTACCCATTTAAGCAATGATTAATAAATCTATAATACCCTGAGCTGTCAATCTTTTAGTTTTCAGAAGCACAAAATCCATTATAGAAATGCTATAATATATGAAAAAGATTAAAATCTTAAATTAAACTTTTCCCCCTACTGCCTGAAAGGATTTAGAACCCAGCAGAAGGCAGGTGAATTCGAATGGCATATAATCTACAGTTGGTTTTATTGGAAAGTGACTCATGCTGTATTATAGTTTTGATAATAACTATCATTTAAGGTACAAAATATTCAGCAACATTATAAATAGCTTTAAAACATAAGAATATACTGGAATAGCATATGCTGGTGAATGTTGGGGTGTTTCCCAGAAAAGCTTGTCCCTGTTCTAGACATTTTCTTCTCCTGCTGCTCAAATTCCTGTTACTCAGAAGGTTACAAGCCTGCAAGGAGAACTGCAAGGAGTACATTTGGTCGTGCTGCAATTAAGATTGTGTGTACAAAGATTCATGTATTCCTGAAACCACGTGATCAGAGGGGTGAGGAGGAGGCTGGACATTACAGTTCTGTATTCATACAGCTGTAGGAATCATTCTCCTCAGTCAGGGGAAGGGACATGTCCTTCTTCCCACATACTGGGACACACCTTGAACACTTATCTAACTTTCATGGTGAAAGTTTTGGTCACTCAGTCTCTTCCTTTCTGCCTTTTCATTGTGGGGAATATTCTTTAAGTTTTTAAGTATGGATAAGGGATTGTTTTTCATACAATGCCTCTGTTGAGTTGACAGGGAAATCAAACTTGCTGTAATTTTTATTATAGCACCTCAGAGTGATTAGCTGATCTTACAGGAATGGGGAGTAATAACAGCACAGAAATATTGCTAAATGTTACTAATGCTACTAGAAGGAACCCCGTGTGCAGAAGCAAGGGTACATAAAAAAGCTAGGGAATTAGTTCGTGACCCTTCATAATCCTACTTCATGTTCATCCTGAGACTCTTGTGCTCCTAGTGTGTTTTTTTTTTTCCCAAGAGGAAGACTGTGGAGGATGCGGATGGAGGTTTATTTTGAGGTTCTGATCTTCTGGAATGGCATACGTCCCATTAACAGGTCATAGGTATGCAAACGTCTGGGGCCACATAAATCTCCAGCTTGGTGGGATTACCCTGAAGAGTCTACAGCATTTTATCCTTGTTTATATCATTGTGTATGGAGTAACTTTTGGTTGTTTTTTTTTTGTTTGTTTTGTTTTGTTTTGTTTTCTGTTTTTGTTTGTTTGTTTGTTTAGTTTTTTGTTTGTTTTTTTTTTTCTGTGTATGAATCCTTGATTCACAATAGGCTATATTGAGATAATACAGGTTTCCTTTATTAAGACAGAAAGCAACTTTCGTTACAAGGATTGTCAGGCTTGGCAGTCACCCTTGAATGAGACAGTCGTTTTGATTGGTATAGCGTCCAGGAAAAAAAGTGCTTTTAACCAAGTTTTGATGAAAGGGTAGTTGGTCATAGTGCCTTCCTGTCTGTGGATATTCAGGATGGTTTGGCATTCTGTCTTCTTATCTGCTATAATAAATTTGGATCAAATAATCACCCTGAGGATTCATTATGGGCATCCTATAACACAGACCTCCCTTTTGGATGGCTTTAATTGTAATGTTTCAATATCCATGATTTATCTAAATCTTATGACTTTATAGATACATTGCCTTTCAAAACTCCTGATTTAGCTAAATAGCAAGATGGTCAAGGAGTGGTTAAAGTGATGGATTCAGAAAAAAAAATATTTGACACACCTCGTTCACTATGGAAAATAGGACTTTATTTTCTGAAATGGATGGCCCATTATCTTGTGTTGCATTGCCTCAGTGCACAGACCTCACAGGTCTCAAATACCATCTCAAATACCACCTCAAATACCTCAAAGGTATGGTACATTTCTCAAATACACTTACAGAAGGATATGTTGCAATTATTATGGAACAACTATTAGTGACATGGACAGAAGAAGAAAAGCTGAAGGGGAAAAAAAGACCAGATCACCATATAATTCTCCCAAGGCATATCCATAAATGTTATTAATAAATATTCAGGAAGCCATCCTGTGTTTCAACTAATTGACAACCCCACTTATCTTCACTGGACACCTTGCTGGTGATACTGTGAGAGCTGAACATGCTCAAAAGAGGATACTGTCGTCTGCTCCTACATTACTTGCTTCATATGATAATGATGATCTGGATGAAAATGTCTTCTTTCATCATGTATCAATCTATTTGATAAATTAGAATTAAAATTGCATAACATCAGATTCCTACTTGATTCATCTTGGGATCCAGTTTGGTATTTGAAGGACATTTATTTGTCTCTTAGCTTTGTTTCTTAGCTTCCCCAGCTAACCTGGTTTCTCCTGTATTGGAGGCATAACAAACTGTTCTGGCTCTTTCTAAGTCAATGTTATAGTTTGTAATTTTTGTTTTCTCATGGTTGGTCCACGTCACTGCAGGACAAGATTTTAAAGCTCAATGTCCAAAGTTCTGCATCTTGAAAGCAGTCAGCATCTCCAGCTGTAACTGTCTTCAGAGCTTTTTTTGGGAATATTTGATACAACCAGAAACAGATATCTGGATTTTTGAAGCTTAATGTAAATACTTAACCTCAGAAAGCCAAATAGATGGTTTTATTTTCTGAAGTTAAGTATTAAAATATAACTTCCCTGATACTTGATATTAAATAAAAAAGATGTTACATTCTTAATTTAATATTTGTTTACTATAAATGAAACTGTTCAGCTATTTTGCTTTAATTATGACTGGCTTTCACAGGATATTAAACAATTTTTTGGCAATTGCCTTCAAACAGATTTCTGGTGACCCATCTGTAAAACAGACTTTTTTCCCCCAGTTCTAAGCATTTTGTGCTGCAAATTCTATTTTATGAACTACCTGACTTTTGAAGTACACAGAACCGTCCAATGTAATTTGCAGAGTTTTGCACAGAATTGTCCATTAAATGTTATACAAATATGCCCACAAAACAACAAGGTTTAGTTTGATTGACTTGTCCCATTGTGAAATGTTCACCTGCTGTGAAATGAAGTCGCAAAGAAAAAAAAAAAGAGTGGAATAATTTAACTTTTTTATTTGTAAAGATAATCAGGGTTTTTCTGATTACATCTTAACTTCATAAATGTTAAATAACCTATCAGCATCTAGTTGTTGTAAATTATGAAAAAGAGTATTGCTGGGAATATTAACCAACTAAATCCTTGTTCTTTAGTGAACGTATAAATGTGTTATGGCAGGTTGTCATTGTGCTCATGGTAACTTTGACACCAAATAACAAAACTGCCATTTGCACTTAGGGTAAATTGGTTCACTTGTGCTTTTACAGTTCCTTTCATTCTGACATAAATTTATGAACTCTGGAACTAACCAAGTCGTGTGGTTTCCCAGCTGACTTTAACAAACATGCCCATTTCGTTTCCTTCAGTCATCACACACACAAGGTAGCAGTTTCAGACTGGCTGCAGATGCTGATGGCTGTTTTGGAAGAAAGGTTTTTTCCCCATGTTTCCGTGTTGTATGAGTATATATTTTTCGTTATTCAGATTATAAAGTGATCCTTTGATTTTTGCATTTGATGAATTTCATCAAATTGTAGAAGGATTTCCATTGGATATTGGAATTTTTCTGGATATTTACTTGAGTTTATTTGCAATTCATCTTCACTTATTGAGAATACTTTTTCTCCTGAGTGTATTTATTATTGATATAATTCCTAATATATTGTAACATTTAGCAGAATTTTAAGATTTTGGGGTTTGGTGGTTTTGGTTTTGGTTTTCTTTTCTTTTTTTTTTTTTTTTAATTTTTGCTAAGATATGAACTGAACATTAGACATGCATAGGTCCATTATTTTGAAATAAGTGTATTTGCTGCATATTGATGTCTGGATTTTGGGAAGTCAAGCATTCTGAATAGTTCCAATTTCAAAGGTTTCTGGTGAATTTTGTCAAGAATAAATGTACTCATCAGATGCCCAAAAGTTAATTATGTGTCACTTTCATAAGGTAGTGGGGTTTTCTGATTGAAATATCTGGCCTGTTGTCAGGACTGGAGAAGAAGACGACCTCAAATAGGAGATAAAAAAAAGGTTTCTAATTGATGTATTGTCTACCATTTCAAGGTCTTGCTTTTGGATCTTCTGTTGTGTCCTTTACAGGCATTTCAACTATAGGGGGGGAAAAAAAAAAAAAAAGAAAAAATGAAAAGGTAGTTTAGTTGTAATATTATATCTTTAATTGCTGGCATAATTATACATTGCACACTCAAGTGCACTCTTCCAGAGCATTTACTTTTCCATACTTCACAGACAAAAAATAATTTTCTTTGTTGCAGAAGTCATCTCCTTCAAGATCACCTCTCTGCAACATCCTGCACAACTTTAAAGTTATGCTTCTGTTGTTCCATTCTTAATGTTTAGATCTTGGTGTTTTTCTTGAAACTTTTACACTGAAAAAGGAAAATTTTACAGTGGGATATTTTTTGCTTTCTGTCTCCTTCTCCCTTCACCTCTTGCAGGAACTAATATCAGCATCTTTTTTCTTCCTGTAAGCTGTGCAGTTGAATAAGATTGAAGTCATGCCTCCACCCCAGGGCTATTTTTTCAGCTTTTTAGTGTAATACATTTCCTTTGTGTAGCATCTAGTGAGGCAGCATCATCTTATTTCTTTGGGATTTTTATGTCCTTTTTTTCTTCTGAGAATTGTAAAAACTTTGTGTTTCAGAGAATTTTCTGATCTTCCAAAGTACATCAGTTGTTTATAGGAAAGAAACTTGAAATCTTTCAGTTTTCTTGTCAGCTTTTTTTTTTATTTTTATTTTTTTTTTAAATTTAACATGCATGCTAACATATATACTTACCTAAAAAATCCATCTAAAAGTTGCACAACAGTGGAATAGAGTTCTGTCTGCGGCTTCAGGGTAGTAGTATCAATGTAGATATGTTGTCAGAAAAGGACCAAAACCACAATTAGGAGAAAGAATACAGTTGTTTTCCAGAGTTACTCATGGAAAGCTTCCCAAGAGCTGGACAAGTCTCAGAACTGTTCATAGGCTTCTGATTCTTGGTGCAATCACAAAGACATCTCAGTGACATCTAAAGTAGGTGTAGTGCTATAACAGAAATATGGTATCACTAATCAGGTACATCTTGACTTATTTCAGAAAGATAAATTGTCTATTTTGTTCTTTCTCAAGACTGCACCTCACATGACCACAGAATGAAGGAAACACACTTGACAGATGCTCTCCTTTGGTTATTCTCTTGGGTTTATGACGCTACTGCTGTATGCATAGAACAGTCTATAATGGGCAAAAATTAGAAAGCCTACAGCACCTTTCCTAACTTCAAAGTCAAATTTAAAAAACAAACAAACCAACCTAACCAAAACCCTTGAGAAGTCACGTGGGAGGAAACAAGAGAAGATCTGGGAACCTCTGCTGATCATTCTGAGGGGGTGGCATATGGCTTAACTTCTTCTTGTACAAAACCTGATTTTTCTTCAGCTTCTCAACAGACCTGGAAAATAAGAAATTTGACAGCATGGGAAGCAGAATAGATGGTGAAAATGCTTGAATTAAAACAAAATAGCAAAAAGATTGAGACTTTTCAACAAAACCTGAACTGTTTTTATATCAGTTGAAATGCTATGTTTCTTGGTTCAAGCTGTTGCATTGTACTTTACTGGTAAAGCAGGCTAAGAACCTACACTCAGTTGCTGCTGCTGGGCTAAAAAGGGACGATTTGCTGAATGGTGGCAGTTCAGTTTTTTGATCATACAACGCTATATTCAAACAGCAATGCTTAGTAGCTGTTGCCCCTCCAAAATAAAGAAATAAAAGCTACCTGGTTACCAGACATAAGGTCACTCTTCCCAAAAGTAACAATTGCAACACAGACATTGATCGAATTGAATTTTTCTTTTTAACTAAGAGCTGCAAAGCCTGTTTTCCAGTTGTGATCTACAGATGGTTCTGTTTCAGTTTCTGTTTAGATGGCTGTAGTTTCCAAAAGAGGCAGTAGGTAAAGCCTCCAGAGGGGACTTACATTTGAAATTGCATATGATGAATGCCTCTTTAAAGTTATCTTGCACTGTTGTTAGTATTTCAGATAATCACTGGTTCTTCTCTGTTTCACAACAGGGATATTCATTGTTAATGTGCCTCTGGAATACAACATCTTACTAAATGCGAGCAGTCCTGATCTACTGGTGAAGCCAGTAGGACGTGCACAGTTTGCTTTTGTCAGTGGCCTAGATCCCTACACCCTGTATGAGATAAGAATACAAGCATGCCAGAATGGTAAGATGATTTTAAAACACTCACCTCTGTGTCTGGAAGGGAGATTTTTGAGATAGATTCAACTCAGCAAAACAGATAAAATCTTATTCCTACATTGGAGTCAAATGTTTACCTAGTAAAAAGAAAGCCTGGCACTGAATGAAGCATTAAATATTTCTCCATGTTATATCATTAATATTTTAAATGGAGATTTAAAAAACTTATTTTAGGTAACGTGCCATTTTGTTGAAATCTCTATACAATTAAGCTTAAAGCTTAACAGTTTTTGAGAAATGTGCATACAGAACAAAATCATTTCTGTAACTGTTCACCAATAAGAAGTGCAATCATAAAGGTAGAAGAGCCCAAATATTACAAAATTCATTAACGTTAATGGCAATTTTCAAAATCCTATTGAAATAAGTCTTTCTAAAATAACACTTTGGAACCACTTCTCTCCTCCTCTGCACTGGTGAAAATCAGGACTGTTTCATTAGTGAAGCTGTGATAATTTAAGTATTTAATAATGTAATGAGGTGAAATGAGGCAACGTTTCATCAGGAGCTTTTTAATTTACACTCATTTGCTTTTACTGTATTTTTTCTTGAGGAAGAAGCTCTCATCACTAAGCAAACTTCTGGTTTTGTAGGTGGGTGTGGAGTGGGTGGTCAAACATACGCAAGAACTGCTGAAGCACCTCCTGAGGAATTGAGTCCACCTATTGTTAAAGCAAAGGGATCTGCACTCGTAGAAGTGAAATGGGCACCACCTAAGAAACCAAACGGCATCATTACTAACTACTTTATTCACAGGTAAATGCTTATATCACCTCAGATTCTTGGTCTTGTTGAATTTGTCATTTCCTTATTCTTTGATACACTAGGAGGTGAAATCAAAGTGTTAGAAGTGTATGATAAAATATATATTACCTAATGCTAAGGTAAGATGATGATCTATGGATGGAAAAGCTGAGAATAAGAGCTGAAACAAGGATCATCTTCCTGATTGACAAATGAAAAATAGCAGGTGAAAATACATTTTTAAAAATTCAAAGGGGCAGACAAAAATTGTAAGATAGATACTGTGTTTACCTAGACCACTAGGTATGTTCTTCAAACTTCTCTGACAGAGAGTTGAGAATTTTTGAACAGAAAGAGTAGTAATACACCATTTCTGAGATTTTTAAAATTAAAAAAAAAGAGTATCTAGGTTCCTAACACAGATTAATTTTTCATGATAAATTTCCAAGATAGCTGTGTTGAGGGAAGTATCAAGGTAGTAGAGCACTGATGTCTGCGCTGCCTATCAACACTTTTTTAAAAGCTTGTTGAGGGGACCTTCTTGAGCAGCTTCAGAATATAAAACTCAAGCTACATACTGGAGAAGGATTTAAACTGTGAAGTTCCTGCTTTTCCCAACTCTTAAATATGTGTGGCAAACACATGCTGGGCTGTACCTAGCCTCCCACAAAAAGTTAGTGACATTTAATTATATTAGACCTGTGACTGAGAAGACAGGTAATCGAATCACCTTTGCAAATCAGCAGTGATAATTAATAGAAATCCACTTTTGTCTTAAACACAGTAGTAGTCTCTAAAAATTCCTGCTTTCTTGAAATAGCCTTTTGTTTGCCTTTTTTTTTAATTGTCTGATCAAAACAACCCCCAAGCCCCTCCTCTGTATAAAAAGGAATAAAGTGTATATTATAGCCCAGGACATGCCTTCACTCTGTTGGTTTTGTAAATAAAGCTGATGATTACTGCTACTATTCCATAGCAACCAACGAAAGAGAAAACAGGAAATATAATGGAGAAAGCCTGCTTCAGTGAAAAATACTGTAAATTGAATTTGACAGCATTTGATGGCATTTGATTATTCTAGTCACAGCCAAACAATGATATAAAGAGTAATATGAAACAGAATGTGTTACTGCCTAGCAGACTCAAAAGCAATAAACCTTCCTCCAATGTGACACAATCACTTCACAATCATAATTGTAGCCTGTTTGATACCTCTGAGTACAGCAGAAGGGCACTGACTGACATAGATACATTTTGTTTTTTATTTAAAGTGAAATGAAAATGGCGCACTGGGGCTCCAGATACAATCGTTATATTCACCTACATAGGCATGAATCACTTGGCAGTTATTTCAGCTGAAGTTTAAATGTGCTTAGACAACAACAATATCAAATCTTTCTCAGATAGCTGCAAAAAAATCAGAAATGGGATGTAAGCGTACAGTTCTTTTTTCATTTTGTAGCCACACGTAACCTTACATTGTTATAGCAGCAAGACTGCAGTATTTCTATGGGAGGTTATGGCATGTAATTTCTTCTTCATCATACACCTCTTCCTTACTGCATCACCACCAAAATAAATTCATTTAACTCAAAAACTGGAATGCTTGGGGAGCTAGTATGTGTGCAGAACTTTGCATTAAAATGACAGAATTTGTGCTTTCCTCTAGAATCATGAAAGTACTCATCTGCTTGCAGCCATTTTGTTAGAAACCAACAAATTAAAATGTTGTTTTATGGTGAGAGAGATGGTGACATTTTATTTTTGATTCATACAGCAGTTTTAAACACAGACCTGAGGCTTTTAAACTTTTCCAGCAAGGACCACAACTTAGAGGTTGTGAACGAGAAAAGATCTGGTTCGTAAGACAATCACCCAATCTGCTTCTTTTCCCATTCATCATTACATAACATCCCTGTGACAACCACAGAAACTGCTACTCTGGAAAAATAATATTATGGAAATAGGTGATGTATTTCTTGCTGTATTTTAATAAGATACAGGTCACATCAGCTAATGGAACTGCTCTGTGTTGACCACCAGCATGCACTATGTAGTTTGCACAAGATGATTCTTAAAAAAATATTGCTCGTAAACTTTAAGTATTTTGGTTCATATCTTGCTTAAGTCTGAATTTCTGTCAAAGTGTCTATGTCATGTTCAGTAAGGCTATATTATTTAGTGTACATATGAGATTGTAATGTAGCTCTCATTAGCCAAGCAATCCTCATGGTGAAAATTTAGCAGAAAACTCAACAGGCAGTTTAAGGCAGGGGACTTGTCTCAGTGGCTGTTGACTGTTGTGACTTTCAGTGTAGAGGCTTCTAGGCTGACTCTTTATGATTAATTAATTGATTACCCTGACACCCTTAACCATGACCTGCACCAAAGACAGCTTCCAAGGCACGTATATTAGTGGATGGTTTAATATACAAATCCTTATGGATGGATATACCAATGAGTATAAGAAATCCTGAAGAGTTTTATTTATACCTGTAATTGATATAACACTTAATCTAAACTAGCGTATTACATGTAACAATCTCAAATTCCTTTTGTTCACTTTTTGACATCAAAACTTGTAAAAACAAGCAGACAAACAAACAAGAAACATATACAAACCACATTATTATAGAGCTGTTGAATCAAATGGTAAGGGAGGCTGCTTTGTTTAATAGGTTGTGAAACTGTAGAGGGGGAGCATTGTTGATGATGTATTATTCCCCCACATTTGACAATGTGGTTCCACAATTGTTTGCATTTTACTCCAGAACATTTCAGCATTTCTAGAGATAACTCACTACCACTCTGATAAAGAAATAGAAGGTACTGCTAAAATGTGTACTTTCATTTCATGGTGAATGGTAAACGTGAAGAAAAATTTTGGGTTGACCTGCAAGACCTCAGGGATTCACTGAGTCTCCTTCCACTTGAGAGAGATGAGGGGTGAGTGTTGCAGTTAGTGTTGCTGCTGTCCTCTGCATACAGCTCTATAGTTATCTGTCACAAAGAAGATTATATTCTCCTCTTTATGTCATCTGGCTCAGATTGGCAGTGGGGCAGGAAGAATTTGCCCTTATAAAAATAACTGTATGTGAGCATCTTTAAAATGAATGTAAGCAGCAAATCAAACTATGCAGATTAAGAGAGAGCTTCCAGCTCTTGGAAATGTTATTCTCCTTTGCAGCTCATTATACATAAGAAACACTTCCAGTGAAATGAGCAGTTGAATCTTAAATCTTAAGATGATTGAAATGATTACCGACTGTTCATCCACTTCTGTTCAAAGTTTATTCATACATGAAGATATTCTGGTTTTCAGCACTACAGATGGAACCATTTACCTAACCATAAGTTTCATTCATTAAATTTTCAGCAGTAATAAGATCTAAATACCTAACCAGACTACATTGTACAGCTTTGCTTGTGGATGAGCTTACAGTTGGCGGCATATTTGATCCTTCAGTATGATAAAAACATTTATCACAGAGTTCTGAAAATTTCTCAAGCATACATTTGTGTATTCATTTAAGTGTCATACTACTTGGTCAGACAAGGCGTTAAATGTGACTTTATTGCAATAAAATATACTCTCTTCTCACCTGCAGAGATTCGTTTAGACACGTTTTTGAGTACGTAAGCAAAAGACTATATTTTTAAGTGCAGGAGAAAGACATAATAGTGATTCATCTTTCAGAATCATGTGTTTTGCATTAAGTCAGTGAACAGCATCTGAAGGAAAGTTCTGCATAATCCTTAATTTCCCATTACGATAGAGCATGGGGAAGTGTATTAAAAATACCTGATGGAATTTTGGGGTCAATGAGAAATTTCGTAGCCTGACTCTTCCAGACATTTTGTTGCAAAAGTAAGAATTGCTAAGGAATCTTTCCTGCCTGTTCTACCTGCCGTTTTTCATCCAGTTCTGCAAACCAATTCTCAGTATCAACACGTCTTGTAATTTGCCTATTTCTCTACGCTAGACACATTGTACCTCAAAATTCTCTGGCCATTTTAAATCATGCTTTAACCCTTTTAAACTAAACTATGTCCATATAGACTACTTATCTCAGAGTTTAGCAGAAATTATTTAGCTATATATAAGAAAACAACCTATTTGTACATGCCTTATATGTGCATATACACAAAGGATGAATGAACAGCTATATACACACATTCTTTATATTCTTCATATTTTCATGTAAATACTTGGTTATATACTATTACAAACAGCTAAGATTATTAGTTTTTAAAAACGGTTGCATTTTATATTTTTAAAGTAATCTCTGGTTTGACATGACAAAACTAAAATCCAGCAGAATTCTGTGAAACACAGATTTTTGTCTTGCCAAAGAAATGTTCTTCAGCTTCTACGTGTGCGTAGTGGTGCTGACAGCCAGTAGTCAGACAACCCAATTTTATTTCTGCAAATTTGCCCTACTTGCAATAAAAGTGGCAGATAATGTAATTTGTTTTTTGATGTTGGCACGGAGGGTGAAAGTGCTTTTATGTTCTGCAAAGGCCAAGGTTCCTGTGAAGAGTAGGAGAAATACTTAAATTCATGTTCAGTTCAGCACAACAGCCACTGAGATTTATCACAGTGTTTAAATGTAACCAACTTAATTTCACACAAACTTTTTTATGCCAAGTGAAGGAATTGATTTGATAACTCTGTTTTGAAGATGAGTGTGTGCCTTGTTACAACTGTTGAACTTTATATACTAGAAGGGGACATGTTAGAAAAGGGCTGAGGATCATCTGTAATCTTCTCTGATACTCAGAATGTCACCTGGTCCAACATAAGCAGATCTGTAGTAGGACTGCTATTTATACACATAGGTATGTATGTATGTGTATATATATACATACAGATATATATATATACATATGTACAGAAATAAAAAAACATTGTGCCAAAAACCTATACAGTAATTGTCTTCATATTTCTTGTTTGCATTTTTCAGCAAAAACAACATTGAGAAAAATGTGTAGTTTATTACACAAAGCACTACTTGTGATATTGTAACGAATTTTTGTGATTGAGCTGCAAATTCTGCTATGTTTATGCACAAGGGATTACTTATTCCATTCGCAAGAACAAATGGGACATTTAAAACCAGAATTTTAAAGTGCATAGTTTTGTTTTTGAGGGCATGATAGAATATTTATCCCTTGTTCACTATGTAACATTTTTCTCAAGTAAGTTGCTTGGAGGCTTTCAAAAAATGAGGGATCCTGAGGTGAGTACCTCCTTAAATCCTTGATTAGCAGAAATGTTGAATGCTTGCACCCGTATTACAATTCAAGTCATTACCTAGAAACTACATATGGATTTAAAATTTCTTGTTCTAAATTCTGAAAGTCTCATATCTGATGTGTTCTATCCTAAAAGGACAATATGCAATTGTACTGTTGCTCTGCTATTATTGACTCTGACAGCACTCTTGTTTAACATGTTTTATAGTAACCTTCTAGGTAAAGGGGGATAATTAAATGATTGCCTCAAAAATCTCCTCACTACTCAGCACTTAACATGATTTCAGGGAGATGCAAAGATAATGGAGGCAGTTCCTTGTGTATGTGTAATGTATAGAAATCAATTGTGTACTTTTCTGAGGTACAGGTTGAACTTAGAACTTCAGAATCTACTACCACATGACTGTTAAAGTTATTTTCAATTTTAAGTACATTGCCTTTGATTTCTTTTCAGACGTCCTGTAGGAAGTCAAGAAGAGCTACTTCTGTTCATCTGGGCTGAAGGACCTTTGGAATTTATTGATGCGTCTGATGCTTTACAGCCTTTTACTCTCTATGAGTATCGTGCCAGAGCTCAGAACGCTGTGGGGTCAGTGGACAGCCTGTGGGCTTCAGCCCAAACTCTGGAGGCTTCCCCGTGGGGCATGGGAGCCCCTTGGGCACAAGCAACAGGTGCATACTCAGTGCGGCTGAACTGGACCCAGCCTGTCTCTCCCAATGGAGTTATATCTCTGTACCGAGTTGTCTACCAAGAAAAACGCAGCGATCCAACATTTAACACCCCAGCTGTTACAGCACTCACCGTAAGGGTAAGAACTGCACCAGTTTTAAGTTGGTTCTACTCTGCTTTGAGCTCTGCAGTATTTTAAAATCTTATTTAACACTGACTGGAAAAAAAAAAGTGGGGTTTCCAATAGCCAGAAGTTTTGTAGGTTTAAATTCTTTGTTTGGCCCAACACAGACTGAAAGATTTCATATTAATATCTAATTCCTGGTGGAGGCAAGCAGATTACTCAAAAGCATAGATGGGTCATGTCTGGAGGAATAAGCACATGCATCTAGCTTAGTCAGCCTGAAAATACTAACAAAGTATTTTTTGTCTGTTGAAATAGTTTCACAGGATTTGCACAAACAACAACAAAAATCAGTCCTTCTTGTATATAATTCCAGTTTTGTAAATCTGTTGGAATTACAAAGTGAATTAATCCATTAGTAATTACATAGTTCATATATTGAACAGTTTTGTGTGTTCCAGTCATAATTCACCAGTAATAAAAGCAGATCTACTTTTACTTTCATTATAGACCATTACTTTGCACTGCTAACAGGTCTTTCCCTTCAAGGGACTTCCCAAATATGAATGTCTGTGAATATTGCATTTCTGTTTGGTATGTGGAGGGAAAGGGCAGGTTCTTTTGTGAAATGATTAATAATGTTATGTAAATCAGGGACAAAAGTGGTTATGGTTTGTGCACTTACCACTGCTTCTCCGACCTATATATTACATTCCAGTCTTTCTATAGGAAAACAACTTATAAATGGTTGAATTGAACTGCTGTGTATTAGGAGAACTGCTGTACGTTGCTGTCTCCTGAATATGTTTCAGAAAGAGTTTAAGGAGGGTGTAATAAAGTTTAGTTTCCTCAATGTGCCACCTCAATTTCATAAATCTAGAGTTTTCCCTAAATAATATTCGTAGACTGTGGTTGTATTGAATAACACCAGAAACCACCAAAATTCTTAACTAGCCCAATTATAAAGTATGTTTGACATTCCAGTAGAATCTTGAAGAGCTTTCTCTGGAATACCCAATAGTAACCTTAAAGTAACTCCCTTAGAGGAATCTCGACATGACAAGGTGGGAGAAATTTCCAGCTCAGTAATCTTACATACTCTTGTGATCATACGGTTCCAAAGCAGTTTTGTGTCTAGCTTCCTGGAAACCTAAATGGATTAAGTTTGTAATACATCTTTTTTGAAGAAGAAAACAGGTCCTGAACTGAGTGATAGGAATATATACTTGTGGGTTCAGAAATAGTTGCGCTCACATTGCACAGTAAGTTAGGTTTTAGAAGCAGACTGGGATTTTAAAGTTCTTCAACTTCAGTAGGATTTTGGCACTCAGCTCCCTCATCTTGTTTTTTTTTTTTATTATTATTATTATTTAAAATCACAAAATTGTGACGGGACATCTAAGATTTCCAAACCAGAGAAATGACAGGGCTTCTCCTAACGCTCTGCTTCAGCAGCACGCAATGTGTTGCTGAGGATCGGAACTGACCTGGCCGGTCATGCATTGCAATGTCTTCTAAGCATGCCAACAACAACAGAAAATGTCCAAGATGGTTGTATTGTGAGTAATAAAACCTACCAAAATGGCCTTTTAAATAATGTTGCCACAGTGTGTTTCTTTAACAGCATCAGTTAAAAGCCTTTTAAATTAACAAGCCATTATTTACGGAATTAGTATTTTCTTGGCTCCAAAATCCTTTATTTTCCCCAAACACTATCCTGAATCAAAATGATAGTCTAGCAGCATATGCATAGCTGTTCTAATAGTATTCCGGTGAAGCTGACTTGCATGGGTTTTTTTTTACTGTCCTTTGTCATCATTTGTCAATTTATTATTTTTGCTGCTCTTTTTTATTTGCAAATGTTATAGTACCCTTTGGGGTATATGTGCTCTTCCATCAGTTGCACTCACTTTAAGCTGTTGTAACTACATTAACTGAATAGAGTTGTTGCTGAGATTTATACCGAGGAGCTGAGATCTGAATCCTGCCTCTTCTGAATAGAGCAGGAGAGCTAAAGCTTTGAATCAAAGTTATGGACATCAAGTGCACAGAGTCCTGTTATCAAAGATATTTTCAGGTCAGGTCAATTATCCCAGCAGGAAAAAAACCTGGACACCAACTTTCAAAGTTATAACCCCTTTAAAAATAGAATTTTATCATTAAATTGCAGATATACCCTTAACTGTAGCTTTGTGAATGAGACACTTTAATTAAAATGTAATTTTATTGAAGGAAGTAGCATTCCAATGATTAAACTTCTGCCCCTTTAAAATATAGCTTTCAGGGGTACTAGGCTAAATCATTTAATCTCCTAAAGCATCTCTATTGGAGCTCCCTCGTGGGATACACCATTAGTCATTCTCTCACACAAGCTTCCATGTTACAAGCAAGACTTAAAGTATTAAGTGAGCAATGAGTTCGGTCCTTTATTTAATCTGTTAGACTCCATTCTTATCCCATTAGATTATTCCAGAAAAAAAAAAAAAAAAAAAAAGTGGTGCTAGAATCAGGGTAGCCCATCCCTCCCTTGCTCTTGTCAGTTGCTCCCTGGTTGCCTGCCACAGGACGTAAAGCTTGACCAAAACCTAAACTAGAAATACAATTCTCAAAACACTGCAGGGTACAAATTAAGCTCTCACTAATATCCCTGCAGACTGTTCTAATTTGACAGCTTCGTTTACATCCATTTCCAGAGCCAAATGAGAGGCATCTTCTGTGTTTTTGAACCATTTGACAGACTTAGCCACCCTACCTTCCCAAAATGCAGCTATTCAAGCTGCATTAATCAGTATTTGAATCATTGTGTCAAAGGTATGGCTGTCTGGTACCTTAAGGCTATCACTGACCACTGGAAATTTTACACTGCCTATGGAGATAAAAATGAGAACTCACTTCTGAGAGCAAAAGCTGCTGCCACTCAAACAAAAGGAGGATCTTCCTGCACTGTTAGAAGCAAATGAAGTTCATATGAGCCATTTGATGCTTTCCAGTTAAAGAGCAGTGTCACCCATTTCCCCAGCTTATTTGGCCAGAGTGTAGTGACAGCTGTTAGGTGACAGCAAGTTAAACTGACATTCTGGTTTATTTGCAGACCAAAGTCAAGTCAAGACTGGTTACAGCAGTACATGTGTCTCCCACAATGTCTTCCCAGTTCATTTTAACCCTCTAAAGCAAGAATGCTATCTAGCGATTCCTTGACAGCATTAGCATGAGACAGATGTGTTTATAGAGGAATGGACTGACAGTAAGGTCTCATTTACAGAAATCTACATAAAGAGACGGGATTGTCAAAGCAAGCTTCTCACTCTTGTGAATTTAGGGCTTAAGCTTGTGAACATAGGACCTAGAGCTGATTTCATTATAAAGCCAGTACCTGCCAAATGGCATCAAAGCGTCACAGCTGTGAGGTAAAACTGTGGGTATATTTGGACTTTGCTTTTGTAGATGTCTTGTGGGTGGGTAATGCTGTTTCTCCCATGACAATTACATCAAGTATTTGGTTGTTTATCGTGAGCAGGATTATTCGAAGTCTATAAAATGGAAAAAAAAAAAAAAAAGAATATATAACTGTTACAATGTGCTTGGAGAAGGAAAAGCACACAGATACCTTATAAAGAAAATTCCTGCCTGCTATGGGCAGTGACCCCCCATTATTTATATGTAGAATCAAAGCCTCAGTGTGTCAAATCTACCTCAGCAGAATGTAACTAAAAGTACGGTGTGCTTGTTGCGGGATCCAAGAGATAGGTGTAAACATTATAGGCCTTATTCCTGGGAAATCTACACTTGTGCCATCCTAGAAACACAGATCTACTCACAGTGTGTTTTGCACCGTGATTCTCTCAGGCCAAATGTATCCTCCCAGGTTTTTTTGGCATAGCTATCTCAGCTTGAAGTGTAAAAAAATTAACACATCTCTTAGCTGATATCACTGCACCAGCAAAGCCTTTGGATTGGATGCAGCTGTGCTAACAGTAGAGAACACACTGGTTTTCCTTACATTATTTGGAGAGATAGTCTATAACTATACTGACCAACTGCCTCTTGGCAGGTGTTTCATCTGTGGTAGGGAAATCTGTAGACATCTTGTGGAATAGCAGTAATAATAGAGGATTTTGTAGGAGCATGAGGCTTTGGCTTGCATGATTATGTTGTTGTAACCAGACAGTAATTTATATATCGAATATATATATCTTTGAGTAAAAATTATAGTCTACTTGCTGAAAAACTCTGTATAAAATATATCTGAAATAATTTTAAGTGGACCGTACTGCCATATACCCTCATCTCCTATGCAGAATTTTACAGATACCTGGAATTTTGCATCCAGTGTTAGTTCTTTTCTATTTATCACATTCAGAAATACTTAATACATCTATGTGTGATCCTTCATTTCTGTTTCCTCATATAGACCAGTGAACATCTGACCACATTAGCAATGAGATACTGCATAGTTCTTAACTTCCTCATATATTGCATTATTCAGTAGTGCAGTATGCATGACTGTATGTGACAGTTTCCTTACAGACGAAGGAATGAAGATCATAGCCACAAGAGTAAGAAAAAATATGCCAAAGAGAGACCAGTGCAACTTTTTTATATATGGCTATTTCAGATGCCTGGGAAGTGGACTGCACTCTAAGAGGACAAGATGAGAGTAAATGGAGGAATCCCTGCACATGCCATAAATTTAGAAGATGTTCTACTTAGCAAAGAATGAAAGCTGTAAACGGCAGCAGAGGGCAAAAGTTAATTAGGCTACTGTGCTGCTGTTAGTGAGTGGAAAGTAGCCACAACCAGAAACAAGATGGCTGCTCAGCAGTGCCCTACTGCAGCCAAAAGATCATATCCTTAGCTCTGCAAGGGCTTATGGGTTAGGGGGAAATCATACACAGATGACTAATTTTTTTATGGTTCACAGCCGATCAAAGTGAAATTCAGCAGCTGTTCAGGACAAGTGACCACTCTAACGGCTGTAATATAACCTGCTAAATAGAGAGGGAATTGCATGAGAG